TTTTTTTTTTTTCAACAAATTTTAACCTTTTTTATTGATCTCTTTTATTCTCATCTACTGATGATCAATGTCATTGATTCTACTCTCTGTCATCATTATGTGTAGTTGCCATCTCTTTGAAGTGTCAGCCTCATATTCTTTAGCACCTCTGCCATAATTATTTTATGATAAATTGGTTTTCTTCTTTGAGGAACTGAATGCAATTAATGCATGAATAACAATCCCTCTTGTAAAGCGATTTATTTTTTAAATTTTGAATATAAATTCTCCATTTACATTCTTGAGTATGCCACTTTGGATGAATGTATACAGGTATCTGGTACCTGCTGACCTAACTGTTGGACAATTTGTTTATGTTGTCCGGAAGAGGATTAAGCTCAGTCCTGAGAAGGCCATCTTCATTTTTGTCAAGAACATTTTGCCACCCACTGGTAACATAGAAGTAGCTATATTTGTGTTCATGTTTGTTTCCCGCAATATCAGTTGGATAATGTTGCTTTCTCTTACATGCTGTCACAGCTGCTATGATGTCCACTATTTATGAAGAAAACAAGGATGAAGACGGTTTCTTATACATGACATACAGTGGCGAAAGCACATTCGGTATCCTCTCAAGCACATGATCAGGGGATGTCCATGTTAATATGACTAATGTCAGAAGTAAATTTATTTTTATTATTTAAATTAGCCATTGTCCTGTTAGCATGATATCGCCCTATTAGTTTAGTTTTCCCATACAAAATAAAATGTCCATCTTCTCAAGCTTTTATTCGCTTATTTACATGTACTATACAGTCCTTATGATGTGAATGAGTCTATGTTGCTTTGATGCTCTGCATTTGATAGATACATGATGTGAATGAGTTGTGATTTCAGATGGAACCCACCCAAAAACCAAAATAGCGGCAATAGCAGTAGGGAGAGAGTGAAAGGAAAAATGTGTTAGAAGACTTTGCTTTGATACATGTGGGAAACAGAGGGAAAATCTGTGAATAAAGATTCTTTCTTTCTTTGAATTAAACTATATATGTATTTTCAAGAAACCTTTATATAGTCATATACAATTATAAATCAATAACCTAAGTACTATTAGTAACTAATCTCTAAGAGAGATTAATAAATGGGATATATATCACAATTAAGAATAATTAGGCAGTAATGGTAAATGTGACAGATGAATATGGTGAAAACGAGAATGAGTGTTGGTTTGGTATGGTTAGAGTTTTTAATAGAAATTTTGTTGAAAAGAAATTATTATAAAAATATTGTTTTTGTAAATATAAAGAAAAATAAGGATAAAATAAAAATATTGAATTAATTCCAAATGAGAAACTCCAGTAGAAGCATCAATTTGATACTCTTGAGATTTGTCATGAAATAAATAAAATATTAACTTGTGAGAAAGTATAACAATTTTTACAAATTATAATATTTGATGCAGTTGAAACTTTTGGAGTAGAAAAAACTTCTCATGCCAAACATAGCCTGAGTGTAGCCTGAGTGTTTTTATGAAGTCTTTTATTGATGAGTACAAAACCATACTCTAAAGCAATATCGTTTTTTTGTTTATTCTCAACGGCGAAAAAATTTCTACTATTATAATAATAATTATTATTTTTTGATAAAGACTACTATTATAATTATTAGAGTACTCTTGCCTATCTATGTACACAAAAGGAATATCACTGTCTACTAACAGTTCTAATTTCTAAAGCAAATTTTTGACAGGGGTACTCTAAAGCAATATGGTAACACATCAGTTCATCTTACATTTCTCAAAAATCAAAATTTTGACATGACAGGGAATAACTAATTCACCCCTGAATCCTGACCCCCTGCTCCTGCAACCACTTCGTTTCCTGTGAACACAAACTTGGGTTTTGACACCTTTCACTATAGGAGAAAATTGCATCCATGACCTTGCTTTTCAACCAAATAATTAGAAATGAATTGGTTGAGCCTTGATAAAGAAGAAAATTACAAAGATTTAGTATAGTTGTGATTTTTTGTTTTTAATTTTAATTTTTATAAATTTTGTAACTATTGATAACCAAAACTAACAATTTGTTTAAAATAAAAATTTAACATTGATGATTAAAAATATGAACTTATTTAATTAATAGTATTAAAATTATTGTTCTAATTTTTTTAAAATCAAAACTAATATGCAATATGCTTTTATTATTATTATTATTATTAATGTTTTCACAGACAAATAAATTATTTTATTAAAAAGATATAAAAGATATCTTAACTCATTATATCTTCATTACAAAAAAGAGTCTAAGTCCAAATATACAATTAATGATTTAAGTAAGTTAATAATAATTTT